AATTTGTCGTTTACTTTTAAAATGCATACGACGAAATGGTCCTGAAATTGTAGCAATTGTAATTTGCTCTTTCAAAATTCCGTCAAGGCGCAGGTTTTCTTGGGGTTTATCTATTTTCTTGAAATTATTCAGCCTTATCATTCCACATGGTAGAAGAATTGTATAGTAATAGTGTATAATGTACAAAATTTGTGACCAATTGAAATTTTGTGAAAACCTCATTTTTTGCAATGCAATGGTACTCCATTCAATCACGCCCATTCATGGTAAGACTCTCGTCAAAACTCGCGAAAAATGCGTCATCATTTTTAATTCTTCAAGGAATAGTTACAAATTAGGAAGCTTCGGAAAGCTACTGTATTCTGTACTGTATCATATTTCGAGAATATATTCATATAGAAAAATTTTTTAGAGTGTGTTCACATTAAAAAAAAAGATTTTCCCCGGAGAAAATTTAATGAAAAGCATCCGGATGAGCGAAATGTCAAATTCATTGGCATATGATCATGCATTTTTGAAGGATATTACATCATCTTCAATACAAAGCCGCACTTCAAATAAATTACACATAACGGTTCTCACGATGTTCAAATAAAGATACGTGAACTAAGCCACACCACTTTATGGCGTCGTACTGGGTACCGGAAAGAAATTTCTTTTCTTTCATCACCAAATATTGAAAGTTCATGTGATTTTTCAGAGAAAAGCCAAGTACCACATGTATGCAACTTTTTTCTGAAAATTGAGATGAAAAAGGGAGAGTTCGCTTCATTGGCAGAGATACGTTTTGAATGGTGAAAGTTTAGTTGAATGTCATACTTAAATATGATGAACAATATTTGAGAGGAACTTCTTATATAAATAAAGGAATTTGACTGCTCATAGTGTCTCTTATTCTTGAAATATTGCAGTTATCCAGTTACTTAAAATAGGGTGAGCATTATACTCTGGGATGATAGGATTTCATCAAAAGTTTTTGGTAAAAATTTGCGGCGCGTGCCTTACCCGCAGGGTGCTTGGTACTCTAGTAAGAACGTTAATCGGTATTTTTGGTTCAGTTGGGAATTAGAAGAACAAGATGAATAATTCAAGCAAGTGCAAATCATGGCAGCCCCTCTTTGAAACGTTATCAAAGCCAAAATGATGCCACTCGAAAAAAATTGTACAGTAAAAGCAGTAAAAGGTTAGGTCAAAATAATTTGAACTTGAGGCAATCATGCAATACAAACGAATAACCGGAAAGCTCCATTTCACATGCAGCTCAACAGCAGCCGATGCAATATTCATCCCAAGCGTACGTTTCTCGCTCAGGAATTTTATTCTTGCCACATGACAATCATGCCATCATGCAAAAGGCATGGAAAACAAATAGGAATTGGATTTTTTGGAGGTTCTCGACCTTGGTGGCAAGAGCCTCTCGCAAACTGTTGAGTAAAGACAGTATAAGAAGGCAAAGAGCATGGAGAACAAATATTGAAACCAGAAGGTCGATGCGTTCAACTATAGCGCTGGAAAAGAAATTTAAGTTCTGGACGTGGTTACTACATAGTATTGTAAATTTACAGTAGTACAATTGCTTGCTGTCTTTTGGGATATACAGTATTCGTTTAATCTATTGAAAGAAAATGAGCCAAAATGTAGAAAATGATTTCATGCATTATTTCCGAAAAACCTCGTACTTCTCTATTTTCTTTCAAAAATGTCGTCTCAACGGCGGAACACTTCTTCAGAGTTATTATTATTATTATTTTAATCATCAATAACTGCAGAACAGTTACAGAATAAAGTATAATCCTGCATATTAGCTATTTAATCTGTTTATTCAATAAACAGATTAAATAGCTAGTATGCAGGATGCACCGAGGTTGATCACATGTCTTAGACCATTTTGAGGACCTTGTTGAACATAATATTGAGCCTTTTATTGTGGTTGAACTTCAAGGGACCAAGAAAAAAATCTGAGTCGAGAACTGTTTCCAAAGACAGTACAGGGAAGAGAGCATTTGTATTGAGGGGAAGAAATAGGAATCAGAGAAAATTTGAATTTGTGATTTTCTAGGCCTCCAATTGCTTCTTAAATTAGTTGAAAGATGCAATAATGCTAAACTTCGAGGGACATGGTTTATTCTCCCAATTAGCCTTTCACTTCCTTCAAAACACATCAAATAACATTTTCATTGATTTTATTTTTATCCTGGTTGATGAACTACTAGCCAAAATGCCTCTGGAAACTCTAAGTTATTGAGGTTGGAGGACGAAAGTCTTCAATTTAGAGATGATTTTAATTGCGTTGTTTCCAGCAAGGGAATTCAGGTAGAGACTCGGGAAAGATTCAACTTAGGCCTGGAGGTTTGAGTTATCAAGACCCAACTGTAGAAAACAAATTGTTTCATTTATCTTCATCAAGTATTTATTTTCAATTCATTTTCATTGAAGATTTTAATTACTTTCATTATTTACAATACTGTCATTTTTGCATCCCATTGCTGCACATGGCTCTGGTTGTGGTTCCTGCTGAATTTTTACCATGTACAGGAGATCAGGAGGACACAAATTGAACCAAATTCTTGACTAACAATAGCTCAGGAGTGAAATGAGCTACAGCAACAACAGCAAAAGAACCTAATGAAAGCTTGTTCAATTTCCTTTCAAATTTCATATTGTTTTGAGGTCCCATGCAGTCCCATGAGAACATGGTCACAAAAACCTTTTGAATGAAAACTCCCCAAAAAAAGATTGTCAGGCAACTCTGCCCTCTAAGCTGCTGTTTTAGAGCTGGTTTAGGGATAAAATTACTGCAGGGTCAGTAATTTTACCAGCAAACTGCATGCTGCCTTCGAACGGGTGAAGCAAAAAATTGTTCACTTTTTTGGTCTACCCTGTATAGTTCATAAGGAACATCTACAGTATACTGTACTGGCATCAGTGAACATTCAATAAGTATGCATGCACAAAGCGCAAATACTGTACTGTACAATGCAACACCAGAAAATTGATTGCACCAGCAGCAATAGGGAGAGTATAAGACCCTCATTGCAGCTGTGTTGGTCATTTAGTTCAGCCGAAAACCGGTGACTGAGTGAATTGATTTACTGCTGTCACATACACACACGAGTCGCTTCTGGTCAGCAATTACGCCAATGACGAAAAGACAGCGGACCTGTGGTCTCCTTCACATTTCCACGCGCGGGCTTGGACTCTTCAATTTTTCAACATCCCGCCTTTTGCGGAAATGCTGATCATGTTGCGGGAGTAATTTCCCCTGCACGATGCACCGGTTATCGTACAAAAAGGACGTTAGGTCAGCAATTAATGATCCACCGACAAATGCGGTGATGATGTGGCAGGATAAATTTCGTCTATTTATTCATTTATTTTTCTATTTGGGCCGAGCGAGCATCGGTAGAATTTGATCAACGCGATACCTGAAAATTCCTCCGAGCTCGCAAACAAACCAACAGCCATTCCATTCATTTTTTAGGGTATCATCAGTCGCACATGTATTGGGTACAGTATATCGCTTTGGTACTTGCTTATTCAATCAGCACGCGTATTCTATTTTTCAATGCGGACAGCCCAGGAATTCTTCTGCTTGAAAAAAATCGCTTCTTTCCACGAATATTGCAAGTTGGACGCATAAGTTGCTTTTCTGAATTATGCCAAAAGTAAAACTGCAATCTAAATGAACAAGAACAATACATTCTCTGCATCATTTCAATTATCATTTTTCAATAAGAGATTGGCTAATAAAGCTTCTACATGTATGGCCAGCAGTCTTTTCTTCAACAAGTTGAGTTTTTGTTTCCCTGTGAGACATCTTGATCGGCATAACTTTTTCAAATGTGTGAACATTTGGGTAAGAAAACAAAAAGGCTCAAGAACACAACTTGGGAACGCATATAAATTACTATAAATTCTAACCTCCTTCCAGGAAACATGTGTTTTCTGCCACAACAGTATATACTCCTATATAGCTGACAAAAGCAGGAAGTAGATACTCTCGGTACACTACATTTATTTGCATGCTGTATATTACAGTTTTATTCTTGCACTTTTATGGTGAGAGGAAGTGACATCTGAACTCCAAGGAGTACAAGTGAAGAGGCCAAGAAGGGTCTCCAATGATTTCAATCTCTTGTCTTAAGATGTCGCGCTGGGATAGAAAGTTAGCGCATAAATGATACAATAATCCACAAGAAATCGGCAATACGCAGGACATGACCGATCGAGTACTTACATTTGAAAACTTTTAATGAAAATGGGAACTGTTCCAAGGGTACTAAGTAGTACAGAACCAAACTGCGGAGGTGTACATGCATCACATGCTCATCATTGCGGACTGGTCGTACTAAATCGCACCAATGAAGAGAGAAAAAAACGAGCTACTCTATTATTCATAGTAACACCAGCGAAAATACCTTCTACTAAAATTCGCAATTCCCCCTTATTATTCACCCCACTCCAAGCAGAAATGCTTTTTTCCATAACTCAAAACCTTTCCAACTCAATTTTTTTTACTTCTTCCTTGAAATTTGATCTGAAGAGGTTTGACCGTATGATCCAACATTCCTAAAACTATGAGAAGATCTCACTTTTCGAAGAAACCGCGTCCCATGCCAGAAAGCTTTAAAATATCTGCAAAAGATCAAGTGAATTTTTCCAACATTCAGAGATAGCCGATATAATCAATTCGGAATTTCTTCTCCGTGTGAGTGGCCTGCACAGGCTCCTCATCTGGGGATGACATCGGTTTCCCAGAAGCAAAATATACTTCAGAAACCTCCCAGGATTGCGGCCGTTTTGAAAATCAAATTCAGTAATCCAGGGTCAAAAACATAACTTGAAAAGTTCCTTGTCTCCTCGTCAAATGAAACCCTACCAAATAAATTTCACAGCTGCTAATCAAGAGCTGCAATCACTTATTCATACCTTCCCGACACCCGGATATTAAGAATACGAAGTAGAAAAAAAATTAGAGCCTGAATAAATACAGCATTGAGTTTCATCTCTGGGAGTGGCACAAATTCATAAATTTATTGCTAGCATCAACTCGCAAATCGTAAAAACTTCAAAAAAAAGCAGAGGCGGAATCTCACAGGACAATTGAAGAATCAAAGCTTCGTTCAGATCGCAACGCCGAGCCCTTTGATAAAATCGACAGCATTCATACGAGCACTCTCGTCCTGAACAGTCATCACAAGCTTGTCCAAATGCCCACCGATCGAAACTACCTGCCGCAGCGCAAGTGTCAACAGGGACTTGACACACGGGACCTTGTTTTTGAAAGGGAAATTTTCACCGGAACCCGCAAAAAGGAGCCTGGAGTATGACCCATGATAGCCGACGTTCGTTTCGAACGGGTCTTCGTAGCTGCCTTCGCCGTGTTCCAACGCCACAACTTCAGAGCGGTTCACGGTTTCTGACGGTAGTTGTAGAAGGTTGACGAGACAGGTGAATGTTAGACCCCATTTCTCAGCGTACTTCCCGGTTGCCATTGGTTCACAGGCGAGAAGTTTCGTGAGACCCGTCACAACGACTTCTTTTTCCTCGTTTCTCGTGATCTGAATCACGAAGAAAATTGAAAAATACGATGAAAAAGGAAAAATCGTAGAATGAGTCGTTAACAGGTCAAATGAGAGGATTCTCATCGAAAATCAGGAGCACGAACAAAATCCCCAAATAGAATCAGTAATTCTTTCCAATGCTGCCAGAAGGCTTAAAAAAATCATCTCTGTCGTGTCCAAGTTCCCTTTTGTCGACAATTTGCTAGAATTTCAGGAAGCCCTAACATTATATGTTGGAAAATTTCGCTTTCATATTTATTCCATGGCTGAAATTTCCTCCAAATTTTAGTATTGGGATCATATTCGCAGTCAGCGGAAGGTTTACGTGAAATCAAGGTTTGCGGAATGCTTCGAATCTCGAAGAGAACAAAAACGCGTTAACGTCAGAGGATAAAATCTGCCGAAATAGTGGGTGAACCTGCTACAGTCCTGCAAATCTCAATTCCGGCACGGAGCATCGAAAACATAAAAAACTTTGTCCTTCACAGGTTACTCCATTCACGCTGAATATGGATCAGGCATTCCCACAATAAAATTCGAAGTTTCAATTGTTCAGTAACTAATTATCACTTCGCTCTCAACCTGAGAAACTGGTTCCACAAGCAGAACAGAATAATTTTTGAACATTCCATCATTCATTACAAAAATTACAGAGTCCTCACAGAATAGTACCATTTCGTGCACCTTTCCGAATCAGTGTCCTACCTTTTGAGACTCCTGGAACAAAACCCTCTCGAGAAACATGCCGAACATTCCAGCTTGCAGTCCGTCAATGACTTCAATCAGCGCCTCCGGTGATAGACACGTTACGAAATGCGACGCGAAAACAATCAAATGCTTAGAAAACTTCGGGGTTCTCCCTTGCGTCAGCCTCGTGAATATTAGTGTAAAAATCTGCCGGAAATGTTGATGCAGGATGCTCTGCCCTTGCGGCATCTCCAGTATCGTCGACACCAAATAGAACCCTTCACCATCGAACTTCTTCGACGCGATGAGACGCTGGAAAATCCGCAGGAACTCCGGGACTTTTTCAGCACTCACGACTCTATCTTCTCCAAGGTTCACAAATCCCCGAAGAAGTCTAGACAACGGGGGAATATTTCCGTGGGTCTCCCAAACGTCCGGCAAGAGCAACATTCCCAGAAGCGCCATGTAAGGATCCGGCAAGGCCAGCTTGTACTTCTTCCGCATTTCAAGAAGCAGAGCCAATATTTGAAACACATACGGTACGAACTCCGCAACATCTTTCTGCAAAATCTCCTGGAACACAGGAAACAACGACGCTTCGAACGTGTCACAAGCAGCTCCAGGATTCGCCTTGCATGCGGCCTGGATCGAACAACAAAGCGCTTCCATCAAGTAGTGGTTGTAACGCGGGTTCTTCGGATTCTGCGCAGCGGCAGCCAACTTGGCGAGAAGAATCGGCAAGAGGGGAGCTAGAATTGGTACGACTTCGTCTCCCAAACACGCCAATACTCTCATTATTGCCAGCATCGCGTATTCATTCTCCTTTGATCCTTCGACCTCCAAGATGGCAAAAAGGTTTTTCAATAACGGCTCCATCACAGATACTAAATCCGCAGCGGACACTATTTTCTCTGGCATGGCCAGAATTTTCTCTATAGCCGATGCAGCGTACGAATGCGACACGATCGACTTTGCAGACAAATGTTGCACCATCGGTGGGATAGCAGAGCGAACGAGCTCCGCATCCAGAAGCGATCGAAACACAAGCACATATCGCAAGCAATCCGCTTTTACCACTGGACGAGAATCAACTTGCGCATCTGCCAACTCGGGTAAGATATGTTGCGAGAAGAAACTTTTGATATCGACCAGTGCATTTGCCTTCGTTACTCCGCTTTTTTCTGTCTTCCCTTTTGCAACCAGAGAAGTAACCAGATACAAAGCTGCATCTTTCTCACGCCAATGATTTTCTGGATTTGAAGCATATCGCGATAACATGCTGTTGACGTATTCAGTGAAGATCACCGTGATTTTCGTCTCGAAGTACATCGACAAAGCGCGAACGAGTTCGCACGCGGCTCGACGCCTGGTTTCCATGTCTGAGCCTTCGACATCGCGGCGAATGTATTCTTCCGGACTGTCTTCAAAGAGCTCTTGGTCTCCAGGTCTGAATTCCATGTTCGGTATGATTACTTTCTCGCAAATGGACGCCAAAGTAGCGTCGTCGTCGAATAAATTCTTGTTAGACACGCGGTAGGCAACGGATGATAAAAATCCAATAGCAGATCCGACAAGACTGTCGTACTTCAGGGCGTTTGAAGTGGTTGTAAGAAGGTTCCAAGTGCTTGTGACAAAGGGTCCCAAATACTGCTCGAACTCTTCGCCGTATTTTTGGGCGTAGAGAGACGCAATGTCGCAGATCTCCGCTTTTAACTTCTCCAAATGACCTGGATCTGTATCGGAATCTGACACAAGAGATGGATTTGAATACGAAAGGAGTTCACAGAAGTTCGGAATCCAGGACACCATGTTGTCTTCAAAATATTCCGGCAAGTCTTGTGAATTCAGGGAATTAAAAACTTTCGCTATTATATACAAAGAATGTCCCAATATTTTGACAGCCGCGGCGTTTTGTTCCTGCTCACGAATTAATGCCAATGTAGATAAAAATAATGCGGTCAACGACGGCCCCATTTCGGTGATCACAAATTTCATTTCAAGGAACAGCGTATCGGACCGCATTTCATGACGATACCGCTTGAATAACGAGTTAGCTGTTTGTAGGGCTCCGTTTATGACACCGAAGTCTCCGCTGGCCAACTTCGAAACCAGAATTTTAATCAGATCTGGCCACTTTTCTGGGAAGTCATGCGCGCCAATAATTTGTATTGCTGCACGTAACTGCTTTCGTACACCTTCCGGGGATTGCAGCATAAGTTCAACTACCAACTCTTTCACCCTTGCACTGAAAAAAAGAAAAGGTGACATAAGCTTCACTCTCTTCACATTGAATATCTTTTCGACAAGTAATACATCTCGATGCTACACTGGCTGAGGAAGCTCAATCACTTTACTGAAATCGGAATGATATCACATACGCTTAGGGTTGGTTGGGAATAGCTATTGATGCTTGAGATCCAATTAGGTCGGTGTAACGGTTATTCATCAAGTCTTTGTTAAACATGAGAATATTTTCAGAACCGCCCTAAACAAGAATGACAATGAATTTTTCCCCTTCCAGAATCTTGATCGAGAACATGATTTCTTCTGAAGTTGTGGCAAAAATGTCCGAACATACCGGTCAGAGGGATGGATGTGATCTTCCGCGTCAACTTCCCAATTTCGCTTCACGTAATTCTTGAATGTGACGGCGGCCACTTGGCGAATGACCGCATCAACGGACTGTAAGGTGAGCAGCTTCAGTAGAAGAACCGGGAAATTTTGATTGCGTTCGACGGAAACCAAGAAATTCTCTGCCTCTTTACGTGCTTTCACATCAGGGTTCAGCGTCCCTTGCAAATAACCGCAAAGGACTTGGATGTTTGCGTCGGTAACTTCCATTCTTTTTTGTGCAAGTCTACTTTCGCCACACAACCTGAACAACACGCCGAAGAATTACACAGAACGGTTGACATATAGTGAGGATGAATTACGGTGAAAATGTCTCTGATGAAAACATTCCACATGAAAACTGACGAATGGTGGAATCGTGCCACTGCTTACATGCTAGTAAATACAGTTCTAAGCTCTTGAAAATACGGTAATGTGAGTCCAGGTAAAACCGATGAACCATTGTTCTACGGACACCACGGTCACACTAATGTTACCCTACGCATTACCGGTAAATGCCATCTCCACACAAGTTCAGATGAGGCGACCGAACCGCGAGATTTAGGCGCGCCGCCATGATTGTCAAAAATCTTCTCATCTGTTACTAGGGTGGTGTAGTTTCTTGCCAGAGAAGGAAGCCACGCCAGCCATACTCCGCGCCACTGCACCCCCTATCCCCTCACTCCCTATTCTCATCACTCTCTCCTTTAGGCACACTAGTGACAGACTTCAGGGTTTGAGTTTAGTGCAGTGAAGGGTGTCACAGGACAACATGCCACACCAGTTCTAGTAAGGATTAACATGCTGTGCAGTACTGTGCTTCCCACTGCTAACATGCTGTTCCAGCAACCCTGGAAAGTGTTTCTATAAGCTCAAGCACTAATATTAAGCACATTAATTAGACAAGAACAGGCTTTATAGAAATTCGTGAATTGTGAATAATGCAATGAATGAGCAAATGTAGAAATGAGAGGGAAAGTGCAAGTGGAATGCTGCTTGATGGATAGATGGCAGTATTGGTGCAACACAGATGCTACCAGTGAAATTGAAGAGATTTCCCATTGTAAGGCATTCCAAAATTTTGATCTCAATTTATAACTGAATTGTTTTGTTGGACAGAATGTAAATTCTCTGACATTTTATTCATTTATTGTCCAATGTAGAAGGCGTGTACAGTATAAGCTAAGGTTCAGGATCACAGAATGGTTTTGACAGATAGTAAATGATTATGTATTCCTGAGATTGAGAAAGGACCAGACAATTGCCCTCAGGGGTTGAAAATCATTGGAAAAGTACACAGCAGTTTATAATCTGTACAAATGCAGGGACAAAGGCTCCATTTGGAAAATACATCACTTTACTCTTGAGGAAGTAAAGTTGAGGCTCTATTGAGAAAGGTACAATAATTCCTAAACCTCCCAAACCCTGGCACTTTCACAAGTTTGTAATCTATCAGATTTTTATTCCTTCTAGACAGTTTGGAAGGAAAACCCAGAGACAATGTTACAATTTTGTAAAACTTGCGATTTTTGTACCTATGGTATTATTTTACCATGCAAGATTTTTAGGCTTACAGGGTTGTTGGCCTCACATGATATTTTTCTCCTACTGGATTTCATCATGGAGCCATGGTAGATAATGTGACAAATCTGACAGTGCATCATAGAACTCACAATGTAACATGATTTTCAAATGCTTGGAATTGTGTTATTTACTTACTATAAAAATCCAGTGGATAGCTCTGCTTTTTTTCTCCACAAACGATGTGAAAAAATCAGATATAGTAATCTTTGGATGTCATGAAGCATGAAACCAGTCAATTTTAAGCTTTTAAGCATTTCTTGTGGCTTTTTTTTTATATAGAAAAGACCCAAAATGACTCAAAACCCATGTAGAAAAAAAAGTATTTGGTTCACAGTTAAATATGTCTGTTAAACCTGGTACATAATTTTTTTGGTCCATCTTGCATATAGACTGCTTCAATTGACTCTTATGGTCAACTTCATATTTGAAACTATAGCAGTTTGTCAAAGCATTTCTCATGCATTTATTGACCAGTGCTGTCCCTCAAATATTATTATTTTTTGAATGATTGGGTATGTAAGAATATATGGAATATGCACTGTCCAATTTGAGATTTGTTGCTGAGAAACTGGATATGTCATACACCAAGGTGAACTGGTATCAATTTCATGGGAGTTTCAAGGAGCAGATTGCCAATTTTTACCCTAAATGTTCTTGGCTATTTCCTGTTGGATCTTTGGTACCTGCAAAAAAAATCAAGCTAGGCCCTTAGACATCAACATCTGCTGGCTCCTGGGGTACCTGGAAAACCTGCCAAGTGGAAAACCAACCAAGAGGAAAACCAACCAAGACTCTTAAAATGGCTTAACATGTCTGGGAATGTTGACCTCCATATACCCCCCAAGTTACCAAACTTACTTCACCAATAATTTTTCTGATTAGGGTACATCAGGTAAAGCTCCAAAGTCCAATGCTCCAATAATTCTGAAGACCTGAAAATTCCACAGAAAAAAGAAACAAAACTGAGAAATCCCTGAAGTCCAATACCCCCAGGATTTTTCAAAATCCCACTGGTCCCAAAAAAAGTAATTTGGAAGGAATTAAAACAGGGTACATAATGAAGTTGTGAAAGTGTATGTGAAAACTTCTACAACTTTTTACGTAAAAAAAAAAAGAATGGGGAAGTGGTATTGCCTCCTGCTAAACACAGGAACCTGAAGTGCCCAGTTCAAGACACCCGGGGAAATGGATGTGCATTTTCAATATTTGAATGGGAGTATCAGACTCTGGGGATTTTGTAGTTCTGTTTTTTTCTGCAGGAAAAGAAAAACCCAGACAATTGGGTCAATCAGACCCCATGGTCTGAATGACCCGATTTTTGGAGTATCAGCATCAGAATTCCGACAAATTAAAAAAACAGGATTTTTGGGCTCTGGGATATTTTTGAGGCAGCCCATTGCCCATTTTTACCACAAATATTTACTGAAGCACCATTAGTAAGCCTGGGTCTTGCCAAAACTGTGGCGCCGCAAAGGCTTGAAAAGGTTTAAGTCCTTCTTGGCATGGTTTCCCACTTGGTCGATCTCCAGTACGCCGCATACGGGTGATGGCGCCTTCCACAAGTTGGCGCCCTAATCCCCATCAGCCCCTATTCCATTCATTGTCCCTGCCTGGTTGACCCTTTCAGACCCTAAAAAAGAATCTGCAAAAAATGCCCTTCTCCTGGCCTTCTGACCCCCAGATTTTTGTCTCTGATATGGGGATTTTTGCGGTCGCATTCTGGGGATGCAGGATGGGGAACCAGCACTGGAATAACTCAGTGAAAAACGGACAAGAATAAAAATCCTGTTTATACACTGCGTAAACGGGTGTAGGACAATCGGGATTCTAATCCACCCGCCTCTATTCCCCCCAATAAGAATCCCCAATTTTAAAATCCTGGTCACACAAATCCCCAAAATTAAAATGCCCAATTTTTAAAATCCCTGAGTGTTATTTTCCCTGATTTTAATTTCCCTGTTTTTTGTTGAAATCCTGGATAATAATGTTGTCGTGCAAATGGGTTTTACAATCAATACGAAATTTTAATTCGTATTGAAAACCTTTAAGAGGATGACCGCAATTTTGCCAACAAGATTTTAAAAAAGCTAGCTTTTTCTTATTTAAACTTTGCTGCCGTATGGCAATGTTTTGCTCTATTTATATGCAGCAATCCTCAAAGTGAGAAAAGTGCAACAAAGTTATTCCTTCGCATTCGCAGGTACGTGCGAATTTGCATGTACGGATTTTCAAGTGAGTTTCTTTCCATCGTTCCCATTCAGTTTCCAACTTTTGCGGAGAAACGTAGTGCGTATTTTTCACAGCGTTTTGAGAAAGAATTTAAATTCTTTAATATTAGAAAAACAAACATGTTGGCAAGCAAATTTTTTGTTCTTGCTGCTTGTATTATTTTTAACAAATATAACTCAAACGCTCAAAGTGAAAACTGCGCATTAATAGGCGAAAACTGGACTTGCTACGATTTATGCAAGGAAGGGGTTCGTCAGGTAACTGCGTATGAAGGTATTGTTAAATTAACTGGTCCGGAACTTAATTTTAATTGCGCGACGTTTAACCAAATAAAGGTAAGAATTTTTTAAACATTCGCGATCATTCAATCTTCGAGAAAAGTGCACTATCTGTTTTCTTCAGGTCGTTCTTCTTGATGGTGACGTTGCTTGTGAGGGAGATGAAGAATCTTCGTCGATCCTTCTTGAGGGAGGACGTTGTAGGGTGGTTGGACAAGTTACATCGGTGATGAGTTCAACAGCAATTCCAATCTCCAGCAGTGTTCCCATTTTCGAGGGAATGTCCAGTGAGAATCCAATCTTCCAAGTTACAGAAAGGGTTCTTGACGAGATGACATTTCCGAGGGCATCCGTTGTTGGAGCTGGGGATCTTCTCAATGGGTCCGATATTTCACACAATTACACAACATTTCAAGATCACAAATATAATCAAGTGGTAGCGGGAGTTTCTTCTTTCATCGCGATAATGCTGTTGGTGGTCGGTATATGCGTTGGCATTTCGAGCGGACTGATCATTTATATGGTCAGGGAATATGCCATCAACAGAAGACATCGCCGTGATTATACTGAGGTAAGTAATACATAAAACGGAAAATAAACAAAATTTGTTAATTAGTTTATTTTATCAACAGGTTCCGATTGGGGAGCAGAGGACTTCGACTAGCCATCAACAGAAGACATCGCCGTGATTATACTGAGGTAAGAAATACATAAAACGGAAAATAAACAAAATTTGTTAATTAGTTTATTTTATCAACAGGTTCCGATTGGGGAGCAGAGGACTTCGACTCCGGAAGTAGTGGAACTTCAGAGCGTGGCCAGTGAAACGCGGAATTCGACATTAAATACTACCAGTGACCGTAATGATTCGGGCATGGAAAGTATCGATCTTCGCGCTTTGTCGCCAATCTCGCGTCAAGAACAAAAACATTATGGATCCGCGTCATCGGTATTGAGTAACGATGGAGTGGTGGTACAAAATAAAGTAAAAATAACCAAAAATCGCGCGGAGTTGCGAAAAAGCGTGCACAGTTTAAAAAACGGGCAGGAGGAAAAAATAAATTTCTCTCGCGTCGTTTTTATGAAAGAGGGAGGAAGTCGCGTATTTGAGGTCGAAGGGGGAAGGGAGCCTCTTGCAATTCTTCCCTGTATTTACGGTATTGAGTAACGATGGAGTGGTGGTACAAAATAAAGTA